GTTCTCAAAAATTAGCGTCGTACTCATAATATCATTATATTTGGTTCTGAATAATTTGAAATAAAATATATGGAAAAAAGTAGATTTTTTCGTCTCCACATCTGCATATTACTTCTGCCATTTAGTAATCACTAGGTATAACATGACAGATTTATACAGTCAAGCGTTATTTGGTCTAGACGTTCCCATCCAGCAGTGCAGGTTGATGACACAATATAGGCAGTAACTGTATGCAACATTTTTGGGTATCGATATCCAGCATTGCGCGCTGGGAAACTCCCAGAAATTAAAATAGAGTAAAATTGACTATCTATTGTTTTTTATAGTTTGGCGCGCTGGGAGCTTCCCAGAAATTAAAATAGAGTAAAATTGGCTGCCTTGTTTTTTTATAGTTTGGCGACCTTAATGGTGTATTTTATATTATGTATTAAGTACATGGCTATAACAGTGATAGCACTTAGATTTTTATTTGCAATATTTGATAAATAAAAATTTTTCATTTTAACGGTAAATTAACTGAAATGGGATGTTTAATTGTAATTTATTAACAACTTTTAATAATTTACTAGATTTGTCGTGTTTATGTGTATTTAAAAAATGTTTGTGATGAACAAGTATATAATCGTTTTTTTGTTGCAGTAATCGACATCTATTTAGGTGCCAAATCAGGGAAAAAAGAAAAGTATGAAAATGCAAAAGAAAAAAACGCAAAAATGCAAAAACACTCAGTATAAGAAAAACAAGAAGCTGCCCATTGGCACGGGAAACGAACTGTCTGACAAGCTTTATGCGATGATGGAAAAACATAAAGAAGTATGTAATGTTTTTAAGATCAGTGTTTTTATGCTTTACATGTTTGGTGTGTATGTATATATATATTTTTCGTTTGTCTGCATTTGTAACTGAAGGTGTTCTGAGTTTCACAGCTTCGTAGGACAAAATGTCTGGTAGACTTCTGCCAACTTTATGACAGTGACAGCGGCAAATGTCATGCTGTCTTTTTAGTGCTCGTATGTGCAAGTTCTGACACATCGTTACTGCGCTGCCTTTCACCGGTTTTCGTGACCCTAGTGGAGCCATATATCTTACGTTTCAGTTCACTTCAGTTTAACTAAATGCTTTACAGATGACATAAGAGATTTCTCCTACGCGCACATTACTGCATTCGAGAATCAGAGTAAGCAAAACAGAGACGGTCATTTTCATACGATTGGCTATCTGTTCCACGAATTATACTATAATCTCAAAATAAAAAGAGGTAAGGCGTCTGATTGAATTGGATTACCCATCTTCGTTACGTCTTGGTGCTTGGGTATAGCATATACATTGATCCGCTCTGTCGTGATGCTGAAAATCTGCATGTAAAAGATGGATGACTTCAGCAAGAGTCGCGTTTTCGAGATTAATAGCTTCTTATGCTAGTTCTCTAATCAGGAAAGCATCAAATGTGCACTTTTGCTGAGATAATTCACCATGTCTTAATCCATCTAATAGCCGACTAAAGGACAACACAAGACGCAAACCTAAAATTTAATTTGATTTTCAAGACTGTCGTTTCGTTATGCTTGCGTCATCTCTGCTCATATGATATGGTGAATTCCAACATATTTCTTTAGGGATCCCAATGGACAGTGGCTTCCATTTTTTCCGCTGGGGTCGTACTCTGATTGCCTTTCTCCTAGAACGAGCTGCCTTAAATGACATAATTTTGGGAAGATTTGCGTCACTGTCGCTTACCACTGCCTCGTTATCTGACTGCTTCAGGGGTCGAAATAGATTTTCACGACTACTACTACTGCGGTCTAGTATATTTTGGACATACTTATACTTTGTCTTTTATGCGATTCTCCGTTTCGATCATTCGTCGCTCTTCATCAGGGAACGTCTGCTTTATTAAGTTCGCTCTATCAACAAGTTTATTAGCTTATGCAACTCGCGCGTTTTCTGCACAATGAATTACCTCCTGTTTGGAAATTCGCAAATGTTTTATCTGTGTAGATAAGCTTTTGAGATGTTTCATATAAAATTATAGCTAGGCATTGGATGTATTTGGAAGATGGATTTTGAGTAACTGATTTGCAAGAATCACAATCGATCCTCTTCCTCCAGCTTCTCCATGTTTAGGTGTGGCGTTTCTCTCGCTTATGAACAAGTGGTATTTCGGGAAATGAAGAACGGCTTCAGTATCATCTGCTGCTGTTATGAATCCTGAATAAAAACAACGCATGAAGGATTATCACGAATAATTGTTCTTTATGATCATTGCAGGAATTCGTTAAGCTTGTTCACTGCTGATCGGAAATGCGCAGAATATACAGTAGGAAATCAAAGATGTCATTAGATTACTGATTTGACAGCCGTCCATGGACCATTCGATCTTCCCGCTTTCGCCTATGGCGGTTAAAATTGTCAACCTGTCCTAGCTTTTTCTTGACAGAGACTCTTGAATGTTTTGCTCCATGGAAACATCGCAACTTGGTAAAAATGTCACTGGAAGCCATTGGTTCGTCATGAAGAAGGAAAAGGCAGATTGTGATTTGATAGCAGTTAAGCATTAGTTAGTGAGAAACCTGTGGCGAGGTCATATCTAGGTCCCAGCTGGTCAGGCTGTTTTTGTTTGGAACTCGTTCTGGGGTCTCTCTCATAAACCATTACTGACGTCTGCAACCTTTGTCCAGCCCATCTGACTCAGGGAAGTGTAACATTTTGTGTAGTTTTAGCCACGGATAAATTTCACTGACGAATGACGACCAGCCACAGTCTCAAAGTACCAGATTAAGCTCCGTCATTACTTGCAGGCCCATTCTTCAACAGTCGGCTATTGTCCTATAACCTCTTATTTTTCTGTTATGCCGTTATAATGGACGACGCGGCTGTTGTTTGAAACGTCGGTTCAAATAAAGTCTTGTTGACGAATCTTTATTATGCTAGTAACTATTGTTGCTCTCTGCAGTTGTTGCCTTTTTATGTAAGACTTTGATTCACTGATGCTAAATCTACATGAAAATCAGGGTATTTTCATCACTGCCTTTTTACATAATGCCGTTTTGGTGAACTTAGAAATTTAAGTTAGTTGATGCCAGTTGCTGATCATCGGTAGATGGACTATTACACTGTTTTGTTGTACTTATTCTGTTGTATTATTTTGTGGCAGCGACCGTGTAAAACGATAGAACGTTTGCATTTTTTTGCATATTTCTGCTCTTATAAATTTTGTTTGGGTGTCACTTATACAAAATCAATTTTTAGGTGTTTTTCGTCGTGAGATTGCATTCGACGCAGACTGCTGCCGTCCTTTCTCCAATAAGTGACCCTGATCTTCCAATTTCATGTGATCTGATGGACGGTAGAGACAGCTTTTTGTCGACGGCCCGCGACAGGCATTGGGAATTTAGTAGTTTACGGCGGGCGAAATTTTCGACTTTGGCACTGTGTTACGAGTTGCATACTCAAGGGCAAGACAAATTTGTGTACACATGCAACAACTGCAAAAACACCAACGCGGTGTGGCATTGCGGTACATGTGATGTAAGCGTGCTCTTAGTGGTGACCATGAGGGACATTTGATTTAATACGTGTTTTTGATTTTTAGGACTTCGATCTGTGTCAGGCTTGCTTCGACAAGGCAAAACACGAGCATAAAATGGAACAGATCAAATCCATTATTAGCGACGAAGGATCTTCGGCTGAAAGCGGAGCGCCTAATCCGAACGCTAGGAGCGAGTCGATTCAACGATGCATACAGAGCCTTGTTCATGCATGTCAGTGCCGCGATGCGAACTGCAGGCGGCTGAGTTGTCACAAGATGAAAAGGGTCGTACAACATACGAAGATGTGCAAAAAGCGTCAAACGGGAACATGCCCTGTTTGTAAGCAGCTGATCGCCTTGTGCTGTTATCACGCAAGGAACTGCAACGAGCAGAACTGTATGGTTCCGTTCTGTCAAAATATTCGACAAAAGCTGGCCGAACAGCAAGCTCAGTTGCGAAAGCGAGCGGAGAGGGACATGCAGCGACGAATGAGCATGATGCAGCACCAATCTTTGCCCGGTACCATGAATTCAGGTAATTCCATGTATCAGAACCCGCATCCGTCTCCAATTACGTCCCCTGCTACTCCTGGTACACAGGTTGTTCCACCTGCCGCTGTCAGAGCGGCTATGGAAGTGGAACGGATTGCTGCCTCACAAAGCTACTGTCGTCCTGCGGGTGTTCAGTTGAGGCAAATGAACAACCCAGCAAGCGTTGGTATTCCGCGGCAGATTGGCCAATCGAACCAGATGCCTTGGGACAGTGGAACAAACTTCATGCCTTTGCAGCCGTTCCATAATTCTGTAAATACCGCCACTGCAATGAAAGCCGTGGGCCATCGGACTCAAATTCATACAGATAATCATTTTGCTTCCGATGGTGTGATGCCTCCACCATCGATTCCTCCGGTAAATATCCCGCAGGGCATCGCTCAACGTCCCCTTTATGCACAGCCTCGAATGCAGCAGCTGCAGGCGATCTTGCAGCGCCTTAAGACGGCAAAAAATGAAGAGGAATCAGAAGCAATATACAAGGAACTGCAGAAGAACACGCCGGTCTTTTCTGCACTTATAAATATGAAGCATAATTCGAGCCAGCAGATGCAGCAAGGCCAGTTCCAAACTTCCCCAATTACGCAGGCAGCTAATTCGGTGGTTCCTCCGTCACCGCGCGTAGCTTGGAATGCGAACAACTGCGGAACTTCCAACTTCCCTGTGAACTCAAACATGCAGCAAGGCCAGAACTCGATGTCCGTGCAGCAACGGCAGTCGCAGTACTACCCCGGTGGACCTATGCTTCGTATGCCACAGCCCAACCAGATCCAGGCTCCTCCTTATGGCGGACAGCAGGATATGTCGCTGATGAGGCATCTGAACGCAAACGCGCCTCAGTACCAATCGTCGCAGGCCAATATGGCAGCGGCGGCGGTAGCCAGTCATGGCTTTCAGGTGGCTGTGCAGCAGAACGTTCTGTACGGCAACCAGATGGCAATAAACCCGGGTATGAGGCAGCCTGTTGCATCGCAGTCCACGATGTCCCTTCAAGGCAATCAGAATCTGCTACAGCAAGTACGTTCCCCTTCGCCAGTTGGCCTCGTGCGTTCACCGATGTCATCCGTGATGCCTCCTTCACCGTTGGCGATAAATAACTCTATGATGCACAGTCAGCCTTCTCTACTTCACCATGCACCTGGTGTCATGGAAACTTCACAGGTCCCGCCGCCTGATCCATCAATTGTTGATCAGGGAAAGTTCATTTAGTGACGTTATTTATTTCGTATTGCCGACTGGAACGGCAGTATGTTAACCTTGTTTAAAGTAATTGTGCCAGTTTTCTGATTCTGGTTAATTTAGATTTCATTCCTTTGTCTGTTTTAATAATGTTATTATTAAATCGTACCTGCGAGGTTTTTTGAAATAATTCTTGTTTTATTTCTGTGTTAGAAACCACTCCAGGTTTCATAACGATTTGTAGATCAGCGATGTATTCTGTCTGTTACATGCTCAGTTGTTTTCTAGAATTGGCGATCATTTAAAAAGGCGCTAGTTTTTAGTGGCAAACTTATTCATAAGTGAATGGGGCATCTGCTGCCATACCATTGTTCTACTTGTAATATATTAATTTGGGTGGCGCTTTAGAGCCAGAGCACTGATCGGCCGTTAAACTTGCACGCAGTGAACTTGTTCTATAAGCTATACATAGTATAGTGTTATTTATGTATATAAGTCGATGTAAAATTTTATATTGTTAGCAACGATTATTATTTCTAAATGAATTGTGTTGTATATTATTATAAATTCGACTTCGCTCACTTGAA